CATATTTTTTGGACCTTTGACCACTGGTTCAAATGTGTGCAAGTCATACACATTATATTCTCGTCCTCAAAAGACAGAAAACCTCAAAATACATCGATGAGTGTCCCCGTGTTTTGTGTATCCCCACATTAATATCCCTAGGGATAAAAGTACCCCCGGTGGGGAAACCTACAACACTAGGAGCGAAAGGATGCAATATTCAAAATATGAGCAGGAGAAAAGTCATTTATCTGTGCCTTTATTTTCCGGTATTAAGTATTTACGTTTTTACAGTTATTAAATGCTGCAGTAAATGTGTATAATGTGATTGTGCTTATGTTGTAAGATAGCATGTTCGATTCGCATAAATTGGTGTAGAACATACAGGAAGTTTAAATAGTATTACAGAGCTCCACGAGTATTTGCAGTAGAAATACGAAAGTATACCACAACAAAATCCGCTTGAAAAGTTCTATAAAATCTAACAATGTAAAATAGCCATAAATTATAAACTAGACATACTTGAACAATGTAAATTAACCATACCATACTATATACAATATTAAACTCGAAGAATGTAAACAATGCATCACTAAACCATGCATACCTTTCGCCGAATATAACTTCGGCCCCTTTCAACATATCTTTGTGGTATTAGTTTTGTTCGAAACACAATCCAACACACTATTTAGAGTGCTATTTTTAAGCTTGCATGTGCAGTTCTACATGTTTTATTTCCCGCGAAATGTTAGGGATACTTGTATCCCTAGTGTCTGTAGTGATGTGGGAATGTATAGGGTGGTTCTTTAGGGATACGAGAACACGACCGCCATATTGCTGGGGATGAGCTGGCTTAAGGGACAGAGTATTGCAACTGGTCCGTTGTAAGTGGAGTTGCTGTCCAAAAGGCGAACTTCAGAGGAGAATTACAAGAACTAGGGGAACGTCGGCGTTGAAATTTCTGCTGGTATAAACTGCCATGAATCATCTAATAATTTAGAAAACGAGTATGAACGAATTGCGTGGAGAAAATGTGCTTCGGAACAAGTACTAGAATATCAAAGGAGATTAAATGATACAATCATAACAATGGATGATACCTTATACACCAGTGATGACGTTGAGAACTATTATCGTTTGATCTGTCGCAGCGTAAAAAGCAGCGACAAATGTCTTCCTCGTGCGAAGTATAAGAAGTCCATCAAGCCCTACTGGAATAATGAACTCAAGCGATTAAAGACAGCTTGCATGGAGCTTCATAAGAAATGGACCTCAAAGGACGTCCAAGAGGAGAACAGTATGAAAGTTTTCGGTTATACAAAGATGCAAAGCGTCTATTCAGGAAGGAACAACGTAAAATGGTACGAAAAACAGAGGAGAATGATTTCAAAGAGCTTAGTGAGGCTTCCGAGATCGATCACATCAAGTTTTGGCTCTCGAAAACAGCGAGATGGCCAACCAAGTGGCAATTATTGTTAAAATTCTTTGTGGGTCATTCTATGTGAATGGTGTGCGATTTGCTGGGGAAAAAACACAATTTCATTGTATGTCTTGTGGTAACTACTACATAAATCCTGTAAAACATGCTATGTTGCATTGTTGTGAAACACAATTAGCAAGAACAAAATTATGGGAACGTATCACAGATTTCTTTCCAGTGGAATTCGTAGCAAACATTAATTCGTTAGATGAGGACAATTTGATGCAGACGATCTTTGGAAACATGCAATTCATGGAGGGACATAATAATAACCAAGTACAAAACTTTTATATTATAGTTGCTGAGTCTATTTCAAAGATAATAACAATATCCAGTTACATTGACATTTATTTGGATTCAGAAACTATTTACTAGTTTGTGTGTTGTTTGTCTTTTTTAAACTAATTTTAATTAATTATTTATAATTGTAAATATTCGTATCTTCAAATATGGAGGCATTAAAGAATTATACTTACTTATACTTACTTACTTACTTACTTACTTACTTACTTACTTACTTACTTACTTACTTACTTACTTACTTACTTACTTACTTACTTACTTACTTACTTACTTACTTACTTACTTACTTACTTACTTACTTACTTACTTACTTACTTACTTACTGAAATTGCGGTGCCCAAGTTTGGCACCGCATTATATTCTGCATGTGAGTTTGTCCGTTTGTTAGTGTGTTCGCAACAATACGTTTCCTTAATCGCCTAGTAAAAATTCCTTGCACGTGCTCGAAATTTATTTATTTTTGCGGGAAAATTAATTAATCTTGGACTCTCATGACCGACTGTTTGCTGGGCTTTATCTCTGGTTTTATGCGCCAAACATGGACAAAAATACCACTGTTCGAAGCAGCGTAAAGACTAATTTCCATTCAGGAAAATTATCCGTGGATTGGAACAGACAAGAAAATGTTTCTTTGTCTTGTGAGCTCTGAGTTGGAACTGATGACTTTAACACAAAGAAAAATTTTCTTGTCTGTTCCAATCCACGGATAATTTTCCTGAGTGGAAACTAGCCTTAAAACGTTGTATTTATGGATGGGAATTGATTTCAAAATTGATTAATTTAATTTCTATTCCAGCGATTCATGGGTTTTGAAAGACAAGCCGCTCAAAATAAAATATCACCGTTCAATTCAGCGTAAGAAACTGTACTTACGGATGTCAAATGTATTACTAAACAACAGTATTCTAGCGATTTATGGCCTTTGAAAGTCAAGGGAAATTGTATTGTTGACAAATCGCTCAAAATTATTAAACTAATTAAAAATTAAGTCCATTTGATCCTTCATAACTTCGGTATTGTTGGTTTGCTCGTTTTCGGCCGTATACCAAAGGATTCGTCTTACTTTTCGCTTCATTCTGATAGTATTTTGAGCCCAAAATAGTCTATTTTGAAGGCTTTAAAACGCAGTTTCGATCCTAACGTACAGACCAACTGGCGGCCGACAGGAGAATGTACTGTAGGATTATGTAGCGTACAACTTTACTTGTGCATGTAATCACAGATGTAGTCTTGGACTCTGTCTTATCTCTGGTTTTATGAGCCCAATAAGGACAAAAATACCACCGTTCGATTCAGCGTAAGAAATTGTACTTACGGATGTCAAAAGTATTACTAAACAACAGTATTCTAGCGATTTATGGCCTTTGAAAGTCAAGCGAAATTGTTTGTTGCCAAATCGCTCAAAATTATTAAACTATAATTAAAAATGTAGTACGTTTGATTAAACTTTGGTATCGTTTGGTTTTCTCTTTTCGGCCGTATACCAGTATATTCATCTCACTTTTCTCTTCATTTTGATAGTATTTCATATGCTAAAACCTGTACGATGGACGTCCATCGTCCAATAAAACCTGGACGATGGACGTCCATCGTCCAGTCCATCGTCCAGGTTTTAGCACATGCCCAAATGTAGACGCCTTCCTTAGAAATCTAAAACTAATGCTCGCGCATAGTCTGGTAACTATGGTAACTTCAGTTGCTATATTATGCAAAATGGCGGCATGTAAACAGTGTACGCAGGTCGGCACTATATCATAGACAAGATACGTACAAATCTGAAACTGCAATGCATACAAGTCAGCGGTATTCCATTTTTAAAATTCAAATAAATTAGTGCGCGAAATTGGAAAAAAACGCGCGAAACCAAAGCAATATGGCTTCCATCGAAGAGTGACCGAGTGCTTGTTTGCACTTCACAAGCAGAAATGCTTGACAAATTTGAAGAGTACAAAATAAAAACAAGTAGTGGTTGGAGATGTATCAAATCAAATGCACTTTTTGGTAAGTGAACTAATTTCAATATGTAAATTTGTCATATAAATATTCATACGAATACCGTGTGTGCAATATTTTAATATGAAAGATCCAAATTATGCATACATAAAACCTTTATCGATTTACTGCAGTACTACACTCATAACAGGAGGTAGCTCATATAATAAAATAGTATGTGCTTTAGAATTATATACTAAATCTTACAGGGGCGGATCTAGGGTAAGTCCAATCAGTCGCGTGACTGACGTATTTTTTGCAAAGGATAATTAATTTATTATTTCGTAATTTGAATAATTAATTCCCGAATATAATATGAAATTCATATCATAGTCCAGTATACGTCTTTACGAGCTCAGTTTTGAATAAATATATGCTTTATCTAGAGCAGCGGTAAAACGCAAGAATCTCGCAGAATCGGGTGGTCGTTATGCTTATTTGATTGGTCGAGAGGTCATTTGGACTTATCTCGACTGATCTGTGGGGTGGCCGGACTGATTTGCACTTTAAGGGAGTCTTTATCAGTCCATTTCGTTCCTTTGATTGGTCAATTTGAAAATATTGTGGGGTGGTCGGACTGAATTGCAACTTAAGGGAGTTTTTATGGGGTGGTCCGACTGATTTGCACTTTAAGGGAGTTTTTATCAGTCGATTTCCTTCATTTTGATTGGTCAATTTGAAATTATTGACAATTTCTATTGGTTCATTTTTTTGGACTGATTCGGACTTATTCGCGGCAGGGGATATCAGTCCTTGAAAATTGCGAAATTCATGCAAAGCAGTCTTTCATATTCCCGTATATGAAGGTTTTTCATAGTTGGGAGAATTATTTTACGATGTCGAGTATTTATATGTACGCGGCCGATTTTACGAGACGATTTAACGGCCTTTAATAAACTTGAATTGTCTCTGAATGAGGATTATTGTGGGGCAGCTAAGATATCAAGCGAGCAGCTTTTATAATGTTGTTCTGTTCAACAACGAGAAGGCACTAAGTTGGGACTTCTCTGCTACGTGCTTCACAATAAATCACAAAGATCATGGTCGTAATTTGGGTGGTAAAGCCAAACGGAAAGTGTGCACTGCTATAATGTATGAAAATATCCAAAATTATGAAACAGAAATGAATATATTGCAATGTATCTTGTATGATAAATGCGAAGTTGAAATATAATACGCTTTAATATATTTTTACACGCAATCGACTTCGACGACTTGCAACTTACAATGCGCTTTCGGGCCTTATAGCTTTCCTGCTGTATTTATAATTTATAAATGCATTGTCCATTATAAAATGGGCCAGAATAGAGCATTGGCATTGGAGGGTTAAAACAATATAATTTGGATGATTTGCATTGCATGAAAGATTTGCGATGAATATCGTTATAATATACAAGTGATATTTATAGCATATTGTAATTCATTGAATAAAAAATGCATTTTACAAAGTATAATTGAAATATTACTCTTTATTTTGCTTGAGAATTTTGATTCACAAACAGCGAGTTATATTGGATCGGCCATTGGTATCACTCACTTCAATTTGCGAAGGATTTCATGAGCCAAACTCAAAGGCTATTGAAAGTTGAAACTACATGATGTGTTTTGTAATATGACCCTCCGTTAGTAAATCTAATTCCGAGGACTGGGAGAAGGCACGTTTGTGAGATCATAAAAAAAGCATGTGCTTGATGTACTTTATAATCTTTGGAATTCTGCAAAATCTCACCGCCAAAACGCTTGAAATCGCATTTCAGAGACTCTAGATTTCAAAATTTTCCGGGGGGGCATGCCCCCAGACCCCCCTAGCATGTCTCACGCCTTCGGCGTTCGACTTATGTTTGAAAAATCCTAGATCCGCACCTGAAATCTTAATACTGGATAAAAACCTATCATAGGGGACTACTCAATAATAATGGGGGGCAGCGGGGGGTGGGGGGGGAGCATTGGGTGATAGATACCAAATATTGAACATTTTTTAGAGCTGCCCCAATATCGCAAGACCTTTATTTTGAAGATACCGCCACGTTCATTTACAAATTTAGGACCCCCCCTCCAACATTTAAATTGTTACTTAGTTGGTGTAAAATAGGTAATGGTACAAGTACTGGTGTAAGACATTGTGTAGCCTAAATAATAAGAGAACCAGGATAATAGCATAATGCTCACTAGGGTAAGTTCAAAAACCAAGGGCCCCCGACAGTTAGGGGCCCCCATCAGCCACAGCCTATCACCCAGAAAATTAGACTGAAAACGTAAAAAATGCAGGTTACGAATCGATGGAAAAATACAAAATTAATAATGCTAAATAATAAACCCTCCATCGACGATGGTATTCCATCTCAAATAGAACAAAAGTTATTCTTAAAAGTTAATTGTTACATGTGTTGGAGACTGTTATTGTCATTGTTATAGACATAGAATTTTCCATTCTACTGATAAATATTCAATATAAAGATAAGATCTTAGTCAAACAACAGTCAATAGGGGCCACACCAAGGGGGCCCCTCTTCCTACATTACGCCACTGGCCCCTCTCCCTGCCTCCCATTATTAATAACCGGTGATCCCTAATCATTCATTATCAGTGGCGGCGGCAAGGGGGGGGGCAAATGCCCCCCCCCAATTATTTTTTGCCCCCCCCTCAAAAAAAAATATTAGTCACTAAGAGCGACTAAAGGCTACACAAGCGTTCTGTCGTTATCGGAAAATGTGTGGCTTATAAGTTGGCATTACTCATTAGTGAATGCGCGTATACATGAAACTGTTTTTTACAGTTTCAATATTAGTTTGTAAATCTCTGAATGGTAAAACTTGCCAATACTCCAATAATATGTTTCAAAAAAAGACAAAAAAGCTTTAGTTTTGCAGAGTTAAATTCTCAAACGTGTAAGGCAATAATAAGATGAAAGTATCACAAAATTATTTGAATAAACCACATCGCATATATGGGGGGCGAATGTCCTAAAGAGGGGCGATATTCCTAGGGTATTCGCCCCACCCCCTGGGAGGCGATATTCCTAGGATATTCGCCCCCGGGGGCAATATTCCTAGGAATATCGCCACGTTTTGAGGGGGGGGGCGAATTTCCTGGGGGGGCGACCTTTTTAAAAATTCTATCTTGCCCCCCCAAAATTTGAGTTTGCCCCTCAAATGCCCCCCCAAATTTGGAAGCCTGGCGCCGCCACTGTTCTGCATATACATTTCATACAATTTCATATTATTTAATTAATATATACATCACACTATAAACAGAAAGTCAGAAACAAGTGCTAATACTAAATGGTAGAAATACACAACAATGGAAAAAGGCTTTCAGTCAATTATCTGCCAGTATGATATTCGTATGCCTAGTATATGATGTTAAGATGTATCATCTTATGCCCTGTTCATATGAGCCAGACTAGCCTGCCTTGCCAGAATAGAAATTGTTATCATATGAGTCAGGATATTGGCAAACCAAGACACTGAAGATAAGTATAGGTTATTTTGAGGCAACGAGGGGATATGTGATTTATTCACCGAGGCGCGTAGCGCCGAGGTGAATAAACACATATCCCCGAGGTGCCTCAAAATAACGTACTTATTTTTCACACTGCGAGGTCGCATTAATGAGTAAGAATAGAAATAATTCTTAATGCCATATTGCCTTCGTTATGTTGTTTTTTCTCATTTTTTTGTGCTGCAAAGACATTGCAGGTGAATATTAGAGGGGATTATTAATTGCAGGTGAATATTAGAGGGGATTATTAAACGGAAATTGATTAGAGGGGAATATTGAATATATTCCCCGATAAGAACAAAGGAAACCGAGCAGGGTGAAAAATAAGCCTGGCTAACTAGGCCAGCTCGAGTCATCTAATGTCCATTTCATGTACTATATATACATATAATCACTACATAATCTGCAATAGCACAACATATTTCAACTTTTCATATTTTCATGCACTTAATAATATTAACAACATGTTAAAAACAGTTGACTAGGAAGTCAAAGGTTAGGTGGATGCATTCTTTGGAGGCAACAAACCTAATAATTATTAACCCAACAATTTGTAACAAATATTTTATTAATTGACAACAATTATTTTATTATTAAATATTGATTATTTTAACAATTATTTTATTAAAATATTGATTCTCTTCATTGCTGAAATCTAACATTGATCATGTTATGGATGAAACTTGAAGGGGTGTGTGTGTTGTGTGTGTGTGGGGGGTCACCCCCCCCCCCCCCAAAGCTGGATTGGCAGGGCAAATCATCTGGATTGGCAGGGCAATGGAAGGTTTTAAATGGTAGAATGTATTGTTATTAAGTAGCTTCCAGGGCTTGCCAACTTTTTTAGGAGAAATAGTGCCGCCCCCCCAAATTTTTGCCGCAGGGCATCATCGCGTTTCGCAGGGCAATTCTAACAGACACCCTCCAATTGAAATGGGCTAGTTTCACCCCTGCAGGCAAAGAAGCATCCACCTAACCTTTGACACCCTAATCCTAGTCTGTTTTTAATGTTGTTAATATTAACTCATTAACTGGCAATGTACTGGCAATGTAAATGTGCCCAAATGTCTGTCTAATGCCAGATGATTAATTACTCATCAGTGGTAGAGTACTGCCAGTAAATGGGTTAAAATGTTAAATATGAATTAAGTTGAAATCGGTTGTAATAACCAATTGATTCATTAACCTATTAAGTTGCAAGACTCTCCTTGATGAGCAAAATCATCTAGCATTAGAAAGAGTAAAAATTCATTGTGTTATCTGCCGCTGTTGGAAGATCCTTTTCCTTGAACATTTTACTAAAGATTTGCTGTGTCATCTGCTGCTGTTGGAAGTTCCTTTTCCTTGAACATTTTACTAAAGATTTACTGTGTCATCTGCTGCTGTTGGAAGTTCCTTTTTCTTGAACATTTTACTAAAAATTTACTGTGTTATTGTACATAATTTCTAGGGAAAATATAAGAAAAATTCAAATGTTGTATTTCCAAAAATATGCACTCAGACTTTGAAATTTTAAATTTGTGGACCAAGGGGGAGGGACAGCTTAACCAAGGCATACAAAAATTAGATGTACCGGGCGACAACATTTTCTGACGGGGGGGGGGGAGTTCCCCGGCTCTGGCTAGGTTACTGTACAGTATTCTCTAAAGCAATAAAATATTATTAATATTTCTAACTAATAATTATTACTAATTATTAGTAAATATTTATTATTTATGTTGCTCTATTAGTCAATTGCGCAAGGCAGATTAAAAGAGTGACTAACAGACTAAACAGTGATGGTGCGACCATAGTTGGGTTTCAATCTGAATCCTGTGACACTTTTATAAAATTTGGAGGTCAACTCCAAAAGGAAACACATTGAGTTTATTATTCATAACAGTATATTAATTCACCTTGTATTCAATAAGCAAGTACGGAACATTTAACAAAATTTGCTCGCGTTCACAAGGCATATAAGCGACAAACGTGCAAAGTTGACCACCGTGTGTTTTTCTGTATGAATATGTCACCAATAAATACTATGCCACATGTGGGCTATATTTTCCCCTTGGAAAATAAAAACACGTTGGCTACGGTATATATACTGTAATAATGTTTATGAGTTAAAATGATTTTTAAATATTAAACCCCATACCTATCTTTGAATCTCCATTTAATGACTTGGTTATTGTGAAAATGCACCATTTGTAATGACGTGTTTATTGCGTTTATATTGTTTATATAAAGTTTACCGCACTTGAAATACCGCTGACTTGTACGTATTGCAGTTTCAGATTTGTACGTATCTTGTCTATGATATAGTGCCGATGTCACAGTGATATGAGTATCCCCGTGTTTTGTGTATCCCCTACTAATATCACTAGGGATATGTGTATCCCCATGCTCACCTCACTAGGGATATGTGTATCCCCGGCAATATGGCGGTCGTGTTCTGCGTATCCCTAAAGAACCACCCTACATTCCCACATCACTAGGGATACAAGTATCCCTAACATTTCGCGGGAAATAAAACATGCAGAACTGCACTTACAAGCTTGAAAATAACACCAAGGGGCCCAAGTTATATTCGGCGAAAGGTACGGCTTAGTGATGCATTGTTTACA